CCCAGTTGTCATGTTCTATTGTTTATGGCCAGACTCAGCATACCCTTTGGTGCACAGTTTTCTTTCTGTAGCTGATCAGATTTGGTGTGTTGGGTAATGGTAATGCACTTCCACTATAGTGTTGTACTCTTATCTTACTGCAATCTTTAAAGGGGACCTATCATGCAAAATGCACTTTTTTATGTCTTTTATACATAAACATGTCAGGGAACTCACAAAGTGTCAGAAAACAAAACCCTCTCTCTTTTCTTCCTTACCCAAATCTCTAAAAACGGAGGTACAACGGAGCTGATCCAGATTTGCATCCGATATGGCGTAATATCGGAGACGTGGACCCACGGCCCTATCAGAAACGTTGCTATCAGAAACAATGCCCGACTGTTTTGGACGTAATATGGTCTTTGTTTACATTAGCAAGCATCGCTTACACTCAGAGCTAATGCTGTACTGGAGAGAGTATGTAAAAAAGCAGGAAATAAAAAAAGGAACTCACCTTGTGGTAAACCCGCAAGAGAAAAAGCATTTGAGCTCCATACTGTTTCAGAAATAATCATTGATGTGGTTTGGAACATGATATGGCATTTAATCACGGCAGCATTTAGCTTTATCTCCGGAGAATTCTGAGCAGGCATTAGCTCCCCCTCCTCTTTTTTTTTTTCAAGCTAAGGACCCCGAATCAGCACTTCTCTAACAGGCCTGAAATGGAGGGATATAAGGGATGTCTAAAATGCATGATCTGTTCGGTATTTTGAGCAAAACACATCATAGACATGTTTTTTATATATTTTTATATATCTGAGACCAATAATATATGCCTAAAAATAGCATAATAGGAGACCTTTAAATATGGATATTGAGCCAAAGATAGGTAAATGTGCTTGGACGAACGTAATTGGACAAACCTCCCCCTTGCCATGTCAATTTGTGAAACCTGCATACCACTGTCAAAACAGCCAAGAAATAATAATCATTAATGACTTGAATTAAAAAGAGCAAACAAAGCGAAGATGTTTATCTGGAGCTCTCTACAATGACAGCCTTTCCGCCTCGATCAACGAGTCTTGATGTATCGTTCGTGTGCTCTCCGTCTGGCTGTCACTGATAAGAACTTACTGGGGGCCGCTGGATAATGGTATCGCTAGCTTAAAAAAACGCAGGAGGGGGGCAGTAATGTATTCTTGGGGGAATTGTGCAAACAGGAGCGCATAAACCAAACCTCATCTCTGCCCTCTGAGCACATTTGGGCAAAGACAGCCCCTATGATAGAGCCAGGGGGGGGGTGGAGGGTGGCGAAATCATGCTGCCATAGTCATGAATTGCCTTGAGCGTGATTTTATTCCTGAAGAGACAAGATGGAGAGACTCAGCCACAACATGCGCTTCGTCCAATGCGAGCACAGAGATCAGCAGTGATACAGGTTATGTTTTGTTGAGATTCTACACTGTAGTTGATCTATTTCTCTGTTTGTACAGCACCTGCATGGCTTTGCCTCTTTGCACTGAAGAAAATATGTAAAGCTGGTATGACCTCTATTTTCAGGGTCAGAGGCACTAACTGTTGTCTGGTTTGTAACCCCCAGGTGTCCTCAGACTGACAGTGATGCCTCAAGGGAGAAATGGAGGAAAAAAATGATAATTGGTTGCATGCTGTAAGCGTTGTTTCTAAAAATCAAATATGTATCCTGGTAGTTTGTTCATGTTATGGATATATTTTCAAAGCTACAAGTTAAAAAAAGATCCGATTTATTTTTCTCCTCCTCCCCAGGCATGTGACAGCTACGTCCAGAGACATATCATTTGGACACGTTGGAGATGATGGTATGTGACGTAAAAGAATACGCAGGATGACAGCATAAAGGAACCCCCCGCCTCAAAAACCCACCCTCAAATCCTGTTGGTTATTCGTCCAGTGACGCAGGACGAATCAGACATATTTGCCACAAAAAAGAAAAATCATTTGAAGGGGAGTGGATTCAGGCAGACACACAAGTCAGGATGCAAAAACCCCACAATAGGTTTCAGAGTATCTGCCTATACAGTACATAAGTGGCAGGGATCATTTGGATTTTGTCCATCATGTTTAGTGGGTCTCATCTCAGTGGGGGTGTCTAATCTTGATGTGTGTCGGCATGAGGTGGTTGTTCGACTCTGATTATTAAATCATAGTAGTGTGGGTAGTCTTTGGCGGAGTTAATGACAGGAAGAAAGTGAAAATAAGTAAAAAAGGGAACGTGGAAGAGAGCAGATAAAGTTACTGGCCATTAACCCCCAATCAGAGCTGTCATATTATCTGGAAACACAGACAGATCGGGGGTTTGGCCTTGGGGCTTTTACTGTCTGCCTTAATAATATATTGCATTGCCATCGAGAAGTTGAAGCTTGATGAAAAAGATAGTGATTGCATGTCAGACACTTATTATGATCGAAGGTCTAGCCTGGTTGTATTGGGGTTTTTTTTGGGAAGGAGGGATTACGTCAGAATAAGGGAAGCTATGCTTTTGGACTTCGACATGACCTCTATTATGATAACAGCTGTTAATTACACAGTGCTGGCTTTCCCTATGTAACGTCTGTTGTTTTCACACATTGCAGGTGCTGTGTGCCACATCTCTTTCACAGACTCAAAGATGTATGCTTTGAGGTTTTTGGGGAAAAATACATGTTTTTCGTGCATTCCGGGGTTATTGCAGATTTTGGTGAAAGCATGAGAGGTGGGTGTGTTTGCTCCCGGCTGTGAATCTCAGCTCAACCTGGCAGCACTTCAGTACATGGAAAATCATGTGTGAAGCCATATGGAGAAAAAGCTGATTCAGTTTTATCGTATTGTTCAATTTAATGTGTTCCATCAGGGAATTCAAGCACTACATAATAACCTGAGGAAAAGGAAGTGAAACTCGAAAGGATACACAAAAAGTCACAAATATAATAGTATTGTTGATCCACATTCTTTTTGACTTGCATATCTAAAGTCCAACACCAAACTTCTAGGACTTCCAGGGATGAGAAGATTAAAACACAGAGACATATGTACTTATAAAAGAGAAAATAATGCTGAAGAGCAACATGGCACATTTGTTATACAACCCTCTTCACTGGGGAAGAGGACAAACTCCTGATGATGAGTCACTGTTGGGACTGCTCAGCATCCTGTCACGACCCCCGCTGATAGTACTTATGTGGGATGGCAGGGGAGTGGGAGGGAATAGGTCAACAGCAGTTTGTTGTTCATGCTGCAATTTAACTTAGCTACTGAAAAACCGAAAAAAAACTAGGATTTCGTTTACCAATAGCTGCATGGCTCTATTGTTATTAATGTTGTAATTGATTAATATAATACATGAACAAAGACTTACAACATTCCTACCAGCTAGTGCTCAATAGCCTTTTTCTCTTAAAAGCAAATGCTTGTAGATTACACACTAAATGAAGATTGCAAACTTTGTAAAACAGAATGACAGCAAATGTTAGCGTTGTCATAATTTCAGCATATTAATTTCCCTATTCAGGCTTGTCTCTTAGTCCTGTTCATATTTTATTTGAAAAAGTAAAGAACATTAAATTCATTCATTAATTGTGTATTTAAAACAAATCCTTTAATATAAACACAGTAGTTAGAGACTTTGATTGGGTCACACCAGCCGCAATAGTAAATTGGAGGCGTAAAAACCGACCATAATTTAGATCTCAACTGCTGTTGGTCGCAAGCTATTGCAATGACATACATTTTTAGAACACAAATAGTTTATCACACATTGAATGTTACTGCCTATGGAACAAGATAAATGATAATCTGTGAGCTGTAGGAGGTGCTATCAACAAATGTCTCAAAGAAGCCCTGTGTTAAGATCTGCAATTATGGACTTCTAAACGAGAATTAATTTCCGTATATCAAAGGACAACCGGTAACAGATTCATTACCATCCGAGGCGTACCAAGGCTCATAAGCTATTCCTTCACTTCCACAGTTAGATTGGCTGTGTTCCTCACGGTTGTGTTACATTGACTTATTTTTTCTCCAATTTGACCTCAAACCATTTTTGTCTCTAAACACCTTAAAACATCAGCAAACAAGGTTAAATGCTTTAGCCTGCATTGTCCTCTGCACAAAATGTTCATATAAACATTGTAATGAGCAAGGTTGTCAGGTCAACTGAAAAAAAAGGTTGGAAATGGAGCTGCATGCATGTACATGGTTGTATTCTAGTGATCCTTCTATCAATTGCACAATCCCAATACTAATTTAAGTGGCTCATGATGTGCTATATAACACAGCTGGGAAAGTCACAGCCCAGTGGGCTGCTACAATGGCAGCCAGTCATTGAGGACGGCCACGTGTCTGTCAGGCATTCACACCACGTATACGGCCACAATAGCCTCATCAGTAGCCTTATTCAATCAGTCTTTACAGACGGGAGTCGACTCGGGTGCTGCAGACCCAGCCAGCCGTCCACTGATCTGCATCACACAGGCATAAACAATCAGAGCGTCCCTCCTTAAATCTCCTTGAAGTGATCTCTGATTTCTTCTGATTGTGCCCGACACCATGCACTCTGCGCTCTGGAGTATAACCATGTGATTAGCACAAGGAGAAGGTAGGGACAATCACATAGTGGTTTACTGTTTGTATGTGTTGTTTTAGCAGCAGTTTACAAAAAAGGCGGAAAGAAAATACGTTTGAGTCAATGGTTTTGAGTGGCAAATAGGCCTACATGGTAAATTAATGATATTTTAATGCATGTTTGCCTCTCTGTTTAATGGAAAAAGTGTGCTTGTTATAAGTTAAATGAAACGATTGCAACCCCAATAATCTAATTTAGGCTAGAATGAATTTAGTAATGCAAGCGCAGGACAGAGTAGGATCCCTTTGGTGCAGCGTTGACAATGTCAGAAGCGATTCCAGGCTGAGATCGATTCCCACATGTGCACACACACAAAGAGGGACTTTGTTAATCAATTCCCTTATCAATCAATCAATTAATCATCCATCCATCAACCTTCATGAACTGCTGCTTCTCCTTCAGCCCCAGTGTGTCACCACTGCAGCAAATCTGCTGTCAAAAGCATTTAGATTAACAAGTTCTGCGAATATTCATCTTTCCTTTTTTAAAGTGGCCTGACTCCGCCTGCAGGACTGCAGAAAGTGCTGCCCTGCTAATCCTTTTTTTATTTCAAGAACATTTATCTATCATTCTGTGCACTGTGTGAATGTGAAGTCAAAGTCAATTTCACCAAGACAATTGATTCTTGAGTTTGTCTTTGCAGCATTTTGTACAGGCATTGATCAAACTGCAAATGGCTCTGCACTGTTACACAATCATACAGTACAATTCAAGTTTAATAATGCTTTTATTTAGAATGATTATGACGTAAGGAAAATTGCTCAAGTTTTTGAGACAACGCAGATAACAATTCATAATAACAATGCCGTCAGAGTGTGTGGGCTAGAAGAGACGGAATGACTTTCTGTACTGAATGTCATTCCAGTGCCACTTAATTTTCAACAACATAATTGTTCTCAACCACTTACACTGTTCTGAATCCTAACACATTTCACAAATGATTTGTCAACGGAGTAGGTCTGAAATAATGTCTGAAAAAAGCTACTTTTATTTCAGGTAAGACTAATTTCTCATGAAATCCTTCTTATGCTAAATAAGTATTTGGCTTAGTTACTGTGTTTAACTCTTCAGAGTAGTTTTGGATGATCATCTGAGAAATTCTTGATAAAAAGCAATGCAGCTCCACTAGAGATGTTGACAAAAGGAAAGAAAATGTGGTTTTGTTTGTTTGAGAGAACAATTATCGGTTTGCCTGCTTGTTGAGGGTTTAAAAAATGTACATCATAATCATTGCGGAGTTTATTTTGTATTTCTATTGGGCACAAATAGATAACATTTATTAGCCGCAGAGTTACGTGATCTTCATTTGTTTGATTTACATAAATGATTGTGCTTTTTTCTGACATTGTCAAAACATGCATGAAATGAGAAAACTAAAATAAGCACATCAAAGTAGAATGGCTTACAGTTCTGTACAGTATGTGAGGATTATTTGATCATGCAGCCATGAAATATCTCACGGGTAGTGTCTGAGAAGATGATTCTTCATGGTGTTGAGACTAGCGGCTGATCAGTGGGTGAGAAGCTTGCACTGCAGCAGAGCAATATGTAGGTTACCTGTCAGGAAATTAAGCCTATTAACTGCTTATGTAACACATCACACATTAGGCACGTGGATTCTCTCCTAATGTTTTATTCTGTTTAAGGCAAAAAGAGACTTATGTAAAGATGGTGTACTCATTGGGATGTCTTGCTGTAAGCTGATATTAAACCTTTATTCGTTTTTCCAGTGTTACTGGAATTCCATTTGCATTAGCCTATAATAAATATGCATTTTCCACTTCATGACACCAACTGTTTACTTTTCTGTGTACAGTGTTTCTTTTTAGAAATATGTGTAGAAGGCAATTTGTTTATTAGAAGCTGAATAGCTATGCTAGCAAATAAGTTTCAAGCTAATTGTCAGTATTCTAACCTGATCACAATCTAACAAACTGATGTTTAGCAGTGCATATTTAAAGTGTATAGGCAGGTGATAACAATTCATCCTGAGGGCAACATACATTTCTGAATTTATGTTTGATTTTTTTAATAAATGAAGAAATAGTAAAGTAGTTTTAAAAGGCATAAAAAAGACACCTGATTAAACAATAGTTTGGAAAAGTGTCACTTAGTTTGACAGACATCTTCAATCTTGTGTGCTTTTCTACTCTCTGGTCAAATAGTGAGGTAGGGGGCAGGGAGTTGTGTCCAGTCTGCACACTGA